TCTGTTTGTTACTATGTTATCACACACTTCTTTCTGAGTGCTGGGAACAGAAGTCAGAGCCCAATGCACAGTAAACAACAGTTCTACTGAATTAAAACCCCAGGCTACACCTGTGCTTTCTCTTTCTCTCCCTCCCTCCCTCCCTCCCTCCCTCCTTCTCTCCCTTTCCTTCCTTCCTTCCTTTTTTTTTTTTTTTTCTGTTGGCCTGGAACTCACTTTGTAGACCAGGCTGGCCTTGAACTCACAGAGATCTGCCTGCCTCTGCCTCCCGAGTGCCGGGACTAAAGGTGTGCACCACCTGCCCGGCTACACCTGTATTTTCAAACAATGTATGTTTGATATCTTTTAATTCTGGTGGTCAGAACTCCTGACTCAAACCCATCACAGGAGGATGTAGGGGAGGGTCTTTCTGGAAAAAGGGAGAACTATACCATCTCTTTGCTTTTTAGCTTCTGGAGCCTCTCACAGCCCTTGCTGGAGGCCACTGTCTGTGTGCAAAGCTAGTGGTGGCCACAGCACATCCCCACATTGACTGTCCCATCGCTTCCATTTTAGGACCCTTGTGATTGATTACATTGAACCCAGATGGAGAGTCCAGAACCATCTCCCTGTTTCAAGGACACCTGACACCTGATCAGCAGCCCTAATCCATCTCCCGCCTGAATTTCTCTCTGACACATCCACAGGTTGCCATCATTTTGGGGGAAGCCATCATGTGTCTAGCACACCCAGATATCCTATCTTGTCTCTAGGTATTTATTCTTAGGAGGACACAAAGCAGTAGCGCATAGTAATACGTGTTGCTGGGCTCTCTTTAAAAACTGGGTGGAGCGGCTGGGCAGGTGACTTAGAAGTGAATAAAAGCACTTTCTGTGCAAGCATGAAGACCCATATAAAAAGCCAGGTGTGGTTGCACCTGTAACCCTGGTGCTGTGAGGGGCAGAGACAGGAGGATCACTGGGGCTCCAAATTCAGTGAGAGACCCTGCCTCAATGGAGTAAGATAAAGAGTGATAGACAGGACACCCGATGCCCTCACAATGCACACGCTGGTACACGCATGCTCACACACATACACATATGCACACACACTCATCTCACACACCCACACAAAATGTGATATGTGGCTGGAGAGATGACTCTGCAATTAAGAGCACTGTCTGCTCTTGTAGAGGACTGAGGCTTGGTTTCCAGCACCCACATGGTAGCTCAGAACCATCCTTAAATCCAGTTCCAGGGGATCTGGTTCCCTCTTCTGGCTTCCATGGGTATTGCAAGCATGTGGTGCACATACATACATGTAGGTAAACATTTAGATACATAAATAAAAATAAATCTTTTAAAAATTGTCATAAGTGCCAGGCATGGTGGTCTCTGCTTGTAATTCTGGAACTCAGGAGACCAAGATACGAGGATCTAGAGTACAAGGACAGCCTAGACTACACAGTAAGAATCTAGCTCAAG